TCAAACAATGGGGGAGTAGTTCGCTCCGATATTTTATGTTACTTCATAAAAGCCTATTGCGAAATATTTTGCTGATAAATAGGTTTATAGTGCTTTTTCAGTGAGTCTTTTGCAGTGCCAGAACTTTACTTGGATTTACGTTTCTTGCATGTAATATGAGCGCTGAAATAAATGTGCATTGTGAAACAAGCATAACTAAGCTTTGTCGGTTTTAAAAGAAAAAAACTACTGGAGAAAATCCCGTTCTCGCAGACATTTTATAAATTAGTTAAGCTAATGGATTTCAACACAGCATTTTAGCATCAAAGCTGTGCATTACAAAGTTAAATGCTTATATAATGCTGAGTAAACCTAACAGTTTGATTGTATGTGTCCTGATGGCTGGGTGATTCATTAGTAGTTCAGGTGTTATGATGCCGGTGTGGTTGCTAGCATGCTCGCTGCTCAGTGTTTATACAGCGTCACACACCTCATGGGTGCTAATGCAGTCATTTATCTGTGTGATGTGCTGGAGACGAGCATGCGGCGTGCGCCTGAAGTGAACACACAAGCACTGTGTGCATAGCTGCCCTGGTCACGTCCTGATGGGAATAAAATAACCTGGAAAAAAAACAGGAAAAATTACTCTCAAGGTCATTTGGAATCCAACACGAGAGATATATGAGTCTGAGTCGTGCTGTTATACATGCTTCACCTCTCTCTATCAGCAGCCCCTGCCTTTTCATATAGTGCATGCTGTAAGTGGAAGTATGGATTAAAAAAAAGTTGTTGTTTGGTCAAAAATACCGGTAGAGTAAAAACGGTAAAATTGTGGAATATTAATGCAATTTAAAATAACTGTTTTCTATGTGAATATATATTAAAATGTAATTTATTGCTGTGATCAAAGCTGAATTTTCAGCATCATTACTCCAGTTTTGTGGCAGTAAAGACATTTAAAATGTAACAAAATATTTATATTTCAAATAAACGCTGTTCTTTTGAATTTGCTATTCATCTGTGAATCCTGAAAAATAAAATGCATCACAGTTTCCGCAAAAATATTGTGCAGCACGACTGTTTTCAACATTGATAATAATCAGAAATGTTTCTCGAGCAGCAAATCAGAATATTAGAATGATTTCTGAAGATCATGTGACACTGAAGACTGGAGTAATGATGCTGAAAATACAGCTGCGCATCACAGAAATAAATTACAGTTTAACAGATATTCACATAGAAAACAGCTGTTTTACATTATAATAATATTTCACAATTTTTACTGTATTTTTGACCAATAAATGCAGCTTTTGTGAGCAGAAGAGATTATAAAAAAATGGTAATTATTCCAAACTTTTGACCAGTAGTGTATATCTTTCATCATATATCTACTGTAGCAGTTGTGATCCGGCTGTTTTTGAAGCTCTTGATTTTGAACATGGTCGTCAGTGATGTAAGAGTAAGTTCGATGTTTCTGCACGTTTGTTTATCATCTGTTCTGTTTTGTATATCTGTGGCTCATCTTGACCCTGTGAGAGAGATCATGAGAACTCATTCAGCTTCAGACTGTCAGTCTGCACAAGTTTGTTGCTCATTTAGTTTACATCTAAATGCTGTTTACACAGCATCAAACGCAAGAAAGCTGACCGGACGCATGCATGCAGCAGTCATGAGCAGAGAGGTTGTTTAATAAACTAGTAAATTCCGAAATGCCAAATTCACAGGGATTATAATTTGAATATCTCAACAGAAGATGCTTAAGATGTTCCTCACAATCTCAGTAGTCTTCTCTACTCTATAGATGAGCTCTTACGTGTAAGTATTTCATCTTTAATTCATTGTGCATTGGTTTGAATTGCATTAGTAACTCCTTTGCAAAGTGATACTGAAGTACTAAATTCTTTACTAAAGAGATTTAGATATTAAACTTAAAAGTGGGGGAGGATGTTGATATTTTAATATATGCATAATGTGCATGTCATTACAGTAAAAATGCATATGCAAATGTGTAAGTGTGTCTGACGGTGTTGTGAATGCATCGTAATTGACTTCCTGAATGAAGAACATTAAATTCCTATCCTTATTAGTGTTAAAAGCGGATAATTGTACATTATGGCAGGCAATTATCCTAACGAGTGAAGTACTTACATGCTGCAGAAGGTCTAGTGAATTTCTATTATTTGACAAATGGCTGGCACATAACAAGGTGAGTTTAGTTTGAAGACGAAGGCTTTTAGATGATGATGGCTGGCTCATAACAGTGATGAGATTTAAGCAAGATTGGCATTGTACACAAATGTGGTACGGCTTGCTGTGCTATCGCTGCTTTTAAAGCATTGCACTAAACTACACTACAACGTTTGCTAGATTTTCCATTTAGTTAATATTTAGACAAGTTTAGTGTTGACCGCAGTCCAAAACCTCAACAATTCAACCCCGCTGCCCAAGTTATTGTAAGAAAAATTGATCAAGCTAATGTTTTTGTTGGGTTTATTGGAAATATAAATTTATTTGCAGCTTCAAACCAACATTTGGTTCCAAACATGCCCTTAGAGTTTCATTTAGACTAAATTTGCAACATTGTTACTGTTTCTGGTGTAGTTTTTGTTGCTGTTGTTTTAATGAGTTTTTTGAATTTTATAATATTTAATCAAACAAATCAGAGTTTAAAATCTCCTTATTTTTGGTAACGGCTAAAATTAAAACTTCATCTCAAGAAATAGGAAACAAAACAGCTCATATAATATCTAATTATATCACTTGAACATTTTCTGAGGTTTTTTATTGGTCATTTTTTGGTTGTTGAATAAAAAATACTTTGGGTATATTATTATTATTATCTGTTAAATGTATAAATGTTGAAAATCAAAAGGTGACTTCATTTTCAGGCCCTGTTTTGTGGAATGTGTTACTTTTTATTCATTTATTTATTTTATTATTATTTTAATTATAGTTTACATTATAGTACAATGTTTTTGCATTTTGTATTTTGCAGGCTGCATTTAAACAAAGCTCACTCTGTCTCTCCCATATTAGTTTCTCTCTAGTTTTGATGATCTAATAATAGATATGAAATGCTCAGATGCTGTAACTGGATTGTTCTCTTTAAAATCTCTGTTTGCTTTGTGTTTCATAAGCCGTGACAGTGAGGTTCCCGTCTCTTACCTTATCTTGATTGGCTGGGAAGGGCCAGAAGTGAAGCAGGACTGAGTGAAGCAGCGCAGACGCTCTCATTTGGACATTAGGCAACAGAAGGACCGGAGTCTGGAAACGTTATGCGTGAGAGGAGCTGTGGTGCAGTGGTTTGATGGGCAGGTGAATATTGAGCCGTGTTCATGGTGCTCGCGACACTCAGCAGAGGAGTTCAGCGCTGGACTTTTACTGTGCTTCTCTACAGCTGCCAGGCGAGTCCGTGACACACACACACTACTCTCACACACACACACACACACTCACACTCATACACACTCACACACACACACACACACACACACTTCTACACATCGCTGTCAAATGACTAAAGAAGTGACTAGAAAAAGTTTAATTTCATAGTTTTTAGCACCGTACAAAATCATGTTTTGAAGTTTATTGGAGTATGTTTTACAAGAAAATACTATTTCAGTCGTTCTGCTTCAATTCAGTGTGTTACTTTCTAATTATTTGTGAAATTTATAAGCAAAATTGTTTCAAAGTAAACCCTTCACAGATTTTTTCAAGAGTATTTGGTTAAAAAGTAACTTGAAGTAGAACAAATAATAAAAGTTAATTCAAATAAACCAAACAATAAAATAAGAGTTTCCTTAAGGTTCTTTTTTATGCTGTCAAGTTAATAGGATAAAAAAAGAAGAATTTTGAGATTCTGGCAGAATATTTTTCAAAGTAAATTATAAAGATTATGATATGTTTTACAAGAAATATACTATTCTATTTCTACTTCAAAATGTAATGTTTAATTCAAATTTCTTGGTAATTATTTGTGCAATTTACTAGTAATGTCTGAGTGAAATTTGTAGATCCTACATAAATGTATTTTTTTTAGTGTAATAGTTGGTTAAAAAAAGTCACTTAAAGTAGATAAAAAAACAAAAGATTTTTTTTTTTATTATATACATTATAAATATACATTATAAATTATACAGACATTATTGGAATATGTTTTACATGTACCCTGCCCTCCTTATTTACCATGGATCAAAGAAGGTCACTTGTTTCAGAATATTACAGTCTTATTACAGTTAACATGTTATATTGTATCATTATCATGTGAGTTGTATCATTATATTGTCAATCATTATTTTCCAAATTGAATATTCAAATTTATTATTGAAATATATTACAGTTTGGAAAAGTTTGGAAAAATTAAAGCTTGAAATAATTACGTTTTTCGCATTTATTTGAACAAAAGTATTAAAAACTGTAATATTGTAAAATATTACACCAATTTAAACTGTTTTCTATTTAAAATGTAATTTATTCCAGTGAATCAGCATATTAGAATGATTTCTGAAGATCATGTGACACTGAAGACTGGAGTAATGATGCTGAAAATACAGCTTTGATCACAGAAATAAATTACATTTTAACAGAGATTCACATAGAAAACAGCTGTTTTAAATTATAATAATATTTCACAATATTCACTACATTTTTAAACAAGTAAATGCAGATTTGGTGAGCAGAAGACACTTCTTTCAAAAATATTAAAACATCCTAATTGTTCCAAACATGTAGAATTTATTCATGAATAACACTTTACTTAATGAAATGTATGGTGGTCATTTTTAGGTGCTACTGGAAACGTGCACAAGGAATGCACGGTCAATGGGACCTGGAAAACTGAGGAGAATTCCAGCAATGTATGGAGAAATCAGTCAGAGTGTGAAAACCATTCTTTTTTCAAGTCCAAGGTGAATATTGCTACCATACATTAAAGTATGGTGTCCGCCAAGGTATTATTTTTGTAATAGTATCCTGCATACACAGGAAGAAGAAGTGTTTCGGCATTCTGTGCTGAGAGTCTTGTCCATTGTAGGATACTCGCTGTCTTTTTCTTCACTTTGCTTGGCTGTTCTGATCATGAGTCTTCTGAGGTGAGTGGTGTTCTGCAGGGCTCGGTGTTTGGTCCTTTTATGTTTCGTAATGTAACTTTAAGATAGCTTGCAAAAATGTTTTCCTTCATTGTTTATCATAACACTTTAACCATAATCTCACTGGTAAAACATGGTTTAGTGCCATTGGTCATGGAGATGATGACAAACATCGACTAATTTGGATTGTAGGCGTTCTCTGATTAATCACTCCTGTTCACTGTATTTACATGTAACCAATGTTCTCTGTCACTGTACTTACATAATTAGATTTATTTGTACATACATTTCCAAGCTTTGTTTTCATTGATCAAATAGATTCATTTCTGTACTGTCCAGTCATTTATTCCATTCCAGCCCAGAGCTGGCTCCAGATATCTGATATCTTAATGTTATTTGCCCCTGACCAAGCAATAAATGATTTGTACCTGTTGTTTTCAGGAAGCTTCACTGTACGAGGAACTACATCCACATGAATCTCTTTGTATCATTCATATTTAGAGCAACAGCAGTAATTATTAAAGAGGTTATATTACATGTTGCGTATACCAACCTGCCCAGGGACGAGATCGGATGGAACAGCTACACAAAATCTACGGTACAGAAACATTCCTTTATGTGTGTTTTTTTTTGTTTTGGTTTTGTGGAATTATTTCAAGGAATTACATCTGAGCAAGTGTACATATCTTACTGTTTGTTATTTCAAAACAGAAAAAGACAAGACAAATGCAATAATATAAATGTCAACCTTTCAGATTTCATTCGTCTGCAAGGCCTCAAAGGTGTCGCTGGAATATTTTGTGGGCTGTAATTACTTCTGGCTGTTAGTGGAGGCGATATTCCTGCACACGCTGCTGTTCACCGCAGTTCTGACCAGGAAAAGACTTCTGAAGAAATATATGATTATAGGATGGGGTGCAGCTTTTGTACTACATAAAAATACTCTTTCCTTTTCATTTCTTTGAAAGTATGTCCTACATTAAAATATGACTTATTAATTCTCCACCTTTATTCAATGAACTCGTTCAGGAACTCCATTACTGTTTGTGATTCCCTGGACGGTTGCCAAAGCTTTGTATGAAAATAAAAGGTAAGTGTCTGTTTTACTACTGATTGACACTTTAAAAAGAAGTTTTGCATGTAATACAGAAAAACATTTGTGTGAGGAGGGATTTTATGGTGGAATAAATGTTTTTTTATTTTTGCTTTTTATCCACTGAAAAAAATGTGTAGGGCTATTTTCACTCAGAAATTGCGATTACATTTCACAAATAATTTAAAAAAAAAATAATAATTTATAATAAATATTAATTTGACCCTAAAGTTGTGAAAGACTGAAATAGTATTTTGTTGTTGTTGTTAAATGTAATCCAATAATCTTCAAAACAAATTTTTACAGTGTTCTTATACAGTATATATATATATATATATATATATATATATATATATAACCAAATAATTTGATTAAATAAAATACAGAATTTAAAAGAAAAAAAACAACAATAGAAAAATGAAAATCACAACAAATCAAATTAACTGCTCACAATAGCATACTCGATGTGAATTAGGATTCCACTAAATCTCAGTTCCAGTTCACTGCTGCTTACACGAGATCCTTCTTCCGCAATGTAATTTCTGAGCAACGTTCAGTCAGAAAGGGAGGAAAACATACAATCCTACCACTCGGTTGATTCCTTGATCCACAAAGCTTGGTCCTTATATGGGCATGGCTCGCCAGTTCCTGCATGCAATGACGGCTGTAACGCGAAGCAGGGACAGTTCAAGTTCAAAATGTTCCTCAGAAATTGGTTAATGTCCAAGAAACGTGCAGCATCCGACTCAGGAAATGATGAAAAAAGTAGAAAATAGAAAGAAAACAAAAAAGGACAGATAAAAGGGAAAAAAAAAAGACCCAGCCTTGCAAAAGACAAAGCCAAAAAATACAATTAGACATTCCTTTAAAAAATATACATCTTATGATGTATAAAAATATACATCCTAATATACAGCAGTTAATCCGCAAATAAACATTCAACATATTTAACTTCATTTTCATCTAACATGAACGCATTGAATTTGCATAGACGTGCAAAGAGCATTTTTGAAATGATGCGCTTAGGCCTCATCTGCCCGCATGACGTGCGACACGATCCGCCGTTAGCTCATAGCTCGAATACACGACAAAAACCATTAAAATAACATTTGTAAACTGCTCAAAGTAACTTTTAACTACGAAACATTAGTTAGTTAGCACATTCACACAATATTCTTCCCATTTTAAACCAGAAGATAAACTTTTATGCGTCTTTTCATACAACTGCACATAATACAACAGCAGTTAATGGTTAAACACCATTTATCAAACATTTACACAAAATAACCTCAGTAATTGAGGATTTATTCACTTCACTTACCAAGAGAATTCGATTTTTTTTCAGTTATGAAATTTCCAGAAAGGCACAAGGGTTAATATTATATAATGGCATTATATTTCTTAATAAATAATTGTAACCACAGTTAAAATAAATTTGGTAACACTTAAATCCTTTATTCATAATGCATTATAAATAATGTACATTATAATGCATTATATCTTTTCATAAATAATTGTAACTAAAGTTAAAATGCATTAAATTATTTGCAGGTTCCTTACATTGAAATTAGTGGTTTGTTGAGTGTTTTAATGAAATATACTTTCTAAAGATGTAACGATGAATAGATAAGTATCATAATGTATTGTAAATGTGGTTACAATTATTCATGAGATCATACAGTGTATTATAAGGTGCATTACAAGGCATAAATGCATTAAAACGACTTTTATAATGCATTATATATAAAGGCTTTAAATAAAGTGTTACCTTAAATGCATATGCTCATCTGTTCATGGTTAAACATACATAGTACAATGCATGTTTCCTGTTTCTAAAGCTGTTGGTTAAATAACATCACATGGATCTGGTGGATAATCAGAGGCCCATTAACATTATCAGTGATTGTGAGTATGATGCCTAAATTTCTATTTAAATGGCTTGATTTCCTCTTCTTTTGTTGGCATATATTCAGTTTGAAGACTGTGGAAGAGCAGGGTTCGCTGGTTTACATCTGTTCTGCTGTCATGCTATAATGCTGATTTCACTGTAGTTTCTGGCACATTGAGGTGAAGCGTCTCGCTGGTCATGAGCGCACGGGAACGAGCCGGAAAAAATAGCAATTACAGTGGATCAAATCAGTCGTGCTGCATTACTGCTGATTCACAAGCAATGTTCAAAATGTGTTTGAACCCTTCAGTGGTTAATAAATGTACATGTGCAATAAAATAAATAATTTTGTAATAAATTTCAGTGTATATAAATCAATGTTGCTGCAATATAGAGTATTAAATAAAAATGATAAAATCAAAACTTCATTAACATTAACTTACATGTAAAATCACATAAATCATTTTGTAATACATTCCAATGAATATAAATCAATTTTGCTGCAATATAGAGTGTTAAAAATAATAAAATCAAACTTCATTAACATTAACTTGCTTGTAAAATCACAAATCATTTTGTAATACATTTCAGTAAAATTTAAAAAATTGATAAAATATAGAGTATTAATAAAAATAATAAAATCAAAACTTAATGAATACTCAGTCCTGCTCACAAAAACCTAGGTGTAGTGGGTGATAAATGTGCATGTAAATTCGAATAAATAACCAAAATCAATTTTGGAAAAAAAAAAGTATTAATAAAAAGAATGACATAAAAATTTCATTAACACTCAATCCTGCTCCAGAAAAAAAAAAAAAGAAGTGAGGCGGATGAGCAGTTGATAAACGTACATGTAAAATCAAATAAATTAATTTGTAATCAATTTAAAAGAAATTAAATCAGTCTTGCTACAATATAGAGTATTAAATACAAATAATAAACATAAAATTGTTAACACTCAATCCTGCTCAAAAAAATACAAATAAAATAAAATAATAAAGTAAAATAAAATAAAATAAAATAAAATAAAAAAAAAATACTGAGATGGACCAATTCACCAATAAAAATAATAGGACCAAATTATGGACAAAATTAAATAAAAATAATAAAAATAAAACTTAGTTAACATTCAATTCTGCTCGGGAAAAAAAAATGGACCAATGGTTGATAAAAACATATTAAATCAAATAAAAAATTTTCAGCAAAATTAAATACATTTTGCTGCAATATTAAAGTAAAAATAATAAACTCAAAGCTTCATTAACACACAATCCAGCTAAAAAAAAAAAAAAAGATATAAATCATACAAAAGTAAAATTGTTGATATAATCATGCACTCACCTGTCGATCTGTCTTTCAGGTCATTTTTTGCATTTTTCTCAAAATCATCAGACTTTTGCTGTCTAAGCTGAAGGCTGAGCAGGTGAAGTTCACTGACTACAGATACAGGTCAGTCACTGCTTATCTCAAACACGTGTGAAGTGCTGGTGACAAGACTCGTTTGACACGGTTTGCATGTGTCTCTCAGTTTAGCCAGAGCCACGCTTGTGTTGATTCCTCTGCTCGGGGTCCACGAGATCGTCTTCACTTTAATTATAGATGAATCGGTCGAGGGAAGCAACCGCTACGCCCGAAACGTCGTCCATCTGACCCTGAGCTCTTTCCAGGTGACAACACTGCTTGTATTTCCCTTGCCGACTGGTACACTGAAAAAAAACATGGTGTAGAAACAATGTTCTCTTAGAAATGTGAAATTTTTCAAAACTGAAATAGTGCTTTCTTGTAAAATGTACTCCAATGATCTTTACTTAATGTACAACTTTGAAACATTTTTTACAGGGTTTTTTTTTTGCCTCACCAAATCCTCTAACTGTGAGCTTTTTTTGTTCAACAGGGTCTTTTAGTTGCAGTGCTGTACTGCTTTGCAAATGGAGAGGTACGTTTGGTGACGACATTTGAACTTTAACCCTCATAATGCATTTACAATCTCTATACTTTTTTCTCATTCCGGGTCCGTTTGGACCTCACCTGAAGAATTATTTTATAAAACAGTCATAACTTTCACATAAAATCTTATTGTATCTGATCAGCAGCTTCTCATTAATGAGTGAATGTGAAAAATATTCATCTTACCATGTTATTACTATGCTATTAAGCTAACTATTTTTTAGTAATAAGAAAAGTGAGAAATTTCAAATTCCACATGACCCACGCCAAAAAAAAATTATGATGCTAAATGTTTTTGTTTTTTTTCCAATATTGATGAGAAATTTTATTTGAATATATAATTGTATAGAATTTATAAGGTCATATAATCTGAGAATTACCGGTATTAACCCCATTGGAACAAATAGAAATTAATTAAATTCTGTTGAATTTCTAACTCATGATTGCTCAAATACGGTCCAAATTTATGAAACCTACAGATTTATTTCTAATAAAACAACATCACAACAACATAAATATTAATCTGAAAAGTTTTCAAACAAAATAAATTCATTTTACTTGCATAAACTTTCAGATGAAAAAAGTCATCCATTTATCATGCTGCAGTGGTTCGTCAATATACGTACATATTCATGCTCATCAATAAAATTCAGTCCAAATGTGTGTGAGATATAGAGAAAAGCTAAAGATACTTTACAAACGTTTTTGACACTAATACAGCTTCATATATAATTTGACATAAAATATTTTTGACACTAATGGTGCTCCATACAAACCCGGGTCAAAAATTACCCGAACAAGAAACATGTAACACTTTTATTTCATAAATGGTTATATGCGTCTTCAAAAACAATTGTAAACAATCTGAAAAACAGATGTGTATTTTAAGGGTCTTAAAGCATTTGCAAAGTCTAATTCCGTTAAACAATGCATTTTTAATCAATTCGGTCAATGCATCTATTCTGGGTCAAAACAGACCCCAGTGTGTTATGAGGGTTATGTCTGAGAATGTCTTTCAACATAGACCTAACTTTGGAAACGTGTCCTTTAGGTCCAGGCTGAGCTGAAGAAGAGGTGGCAGCTGTTCGTTTCCTCCAATCACTTCGAGGCGCACAACTGTTTCGCCGACATTCACCCCAAACACCTGTGGAAGAGCTCGCAGAAGAGACCTGGACAAACCACAGAGCAGAGCGAATCCAATGAGGAGGGAAGCCACGCCCCCACACAGGGACATCAGCTGCAGGTGGCCGTCCAATCAGCAGAGGACTTGGCGTGTGGGCGGAGCTCCGGCCTGGAGTTTTACATGAGGAGGAGCCTCTCCAGCAGCGACGGGGAGATGACTTTAGGAGAGACCATGGAGGAGATCACAGAGGAGAGCGAGTTTTAACGTCTTCTCACTCCTCATTCTGTCAGCAGCCCCTGCTTCTGATTTATTTTTCTATAAATATGTAGTTAAGGATGTATATAGACACTTTAACCACTGTAAATGGCTTCCATAATGTTTTTGATACCTGATTTCTGTATGTGTATATGATGCAAGGTGTTTGAAAGGAGCTGCACAATCTACGCTTTGAAATGCTCAACTTTGAATTTGAAGTCGCTAATTAAACATTAGTTCACTGAAGACTCAGTTAAAATGACACTGAACTAAACAAGAGTGGTGAAAACAGGGATGGACTGTGATTGAAAACAGCCCAGGGATTATGATGCTCTAATACCATATGTTTGAGCAGCTTGATTATGTAGATCAACTGCTTTTGCTTCAGAACCAAGATTTTACTTCAGACATCAGGTGGAGATTCAAAATAGAACCAAAACTGTTGTACAAAAGCGGCAGAAATATCTTGAAATTCAGTAATGTTGCCATAGATCCAACAATATGCTAAATTGGTAGATACTATTGTTAAATGCAATTTATTATATGAATTAAGTTTTTATTTTTTCCTGCATTTTTATGTCAAAACACAGCAGTTTTAACTTACACATTGATTTGCATCTTGATTGTTTGGTGCATCTTGATCATTTTGATGTTTGAAATTATAATTTTTACATTGCAAAAGCAGTGCAATTAAATTAAACAAACAATTAGCAAGACATTTCTCCCTAAACATTGTATGTTTGCTTTGCATCTACATTCGGTCAAGCGGCACGTTGGAAGTTTATGCACGCATGCTAGTAATAATAGAACGCTGCTCAATGTGAAACACATGTAGTACTTGTCGAATACTGAAATGAAACGGTTTGCTTGACTAGTGTTTATTCATGAGCAAATGAGTGTGAAGCAAAGTTGTGGATTATTTACATCATTTGCATGTGGTTTGTCCATAACTCATTGAATGAACTCGCCCTCTGTTATTTTACCTGATGATACAGAGAAAATGCATTCTTCAAACCTCAATAAAGTCTATTCAGTTAAAGGTTTCAATATTGTGTATCTTTGTCAAGAATAAAACTCACCGTTTTCTTTTTTCCCAAATTGTATCTGTTGGTTTCCTAGAAGTTACATCAAAAGTCACCTAAAAGTAGTCAGAATGCGTAATCCAATAAATTACATTATAAACTACAATTTCCGTTACAATCTTTAACAATCAATTTTACAATCTGTAATCAGTAACAGACGACACTTTGTGACCCTGGAGCAGTCTTAAATCTCGAATGTGTGGAAGTTTCTCCTCTGCCTTTAAAAATGACTGACATTAATTTAGCTATCAAATTTAACACTCTTATGGAAATATGATCATATTTTTTGTAATGATCATTCAAATCTGACTAATTTTCCAATTTTTTGCCATAATCAGCATCACAGGAAAATGTTATGGGGTTTCAAATCAGAATATGACTTTCTGTTATGAAACAGGACATTGATTTCATTCATGTCCACTGTAGAGTACTGTGGATAAATTATATTTCAATATTCCTATGAAATATTAGATATTATTATGAAAATCCTGCCAATTATTACTCCCATTATTGCACTTCCTTTTTCATCACATGTTGCCCCAAGAACACATTAATATGCAAATTAGATATAGTGTATAGATACATAGTATATCATTGTAAAACCCATTTATGGCAATTTTACACACATACTGCATAAAGCAAAATGGTATATCAAATCAATCTGTTATATCTTGAGAATCATCTTTATACAAAGTTTGGTATAAAAAAAATATATTGTTTTTGCCTATTCATGTTGATTCATTTCTTTTTTTTTTAGCCCTGGTGTCCTCTACAGAGGACATAGCATAACATATGAATAAAATATCATTTTTCAAAAAAAAAAAACAATTCTTATGCTCTAAACAATGTGATGACATGAAAAAATACCAAAACGTTTTTTTTTCTGCCTCAGGAGGATACTATATATATAACTGAAATGTTACAGTATTTAATTATATATTATAATATTTATTATAAAATCAACACATGCACAAAAAACGTGACTAATACTCAGATTAAATCACAATATGGCAGCATGCTGTTACAAAACTCATGTTTGCCTACATGTGCATTTATCAAGATCCATATTTTGCAGTGAATCAGAGATTGAGAACTGATACCAATTATTTTTGGTTTAAATATTGAAGAATAATTATTCAATACTTTAATTTTATGCTATTTTGCACAGTGCATACAAATTTAAATAATAATAATGATCAATATATAATGTTAATTATAACTTTATATGTACAGTATGTGTGTGTGTGCATTTTATATGTAAATATTATAAATAACATGTTATAATTAACATTGTATATTATGTATATAATGTTAATATATCATATATATATATATATATATATATAAACATGTTATTTATAACCACATATATGCAGAAAAAACTAAATAATATTCAGATTAAATTGGATTAAATCACAATATGGTCTCATGTTGTTACAAAACGAATTTACTGTGGTTATGTTTGGCTATATTTATCAAGATCCATATTTTGCAGTGATAACATGCAAATGTAGTAAAGACTGGCTACTGATTACTTTTGGTTTAAGTGTTTGAGAACCATTATTATATATATATATATATAATTATATATTTTTTTGCACAGTGGTAACTAATTTATTAATGAATATATTTTAGAATAATAATTTATAAATTAAAAATGTATAAATGTTATAATATTTAATTTTAATTATATATTATTTTCAATTATAAAACGCACAAAAACGTGAATAATAATGCATTTGTCACAGAAATGTTAGAAGACACATGAGGCTCGCGCGCGGAGAGTGCTGATGTGCTGCTATATGTCAATCACGCGGATGGGGGCGGGTCGATGAAGCCACGCCTCCAGTAGAGAGAAGCTCATCTGAGATGTGGATTCTGGCGTGAAGCTCCAGTGCAGTTGATTATGAAGCATCATCTTCATCATGATGTCTGAGCGCATCGGCTTCATCACACGCCTGCCATCGCTTACACAGCCTACTAAACCACAACTAACCAACCAGGGTTTGCCTTCTAACCTCCACTAACGCGGTTTGCAGTCGATAGTGTGTCTGGTGAACGCTGTTTATTAATGTTTTTCTAGTTGAAGTGACAGTTCGTGGAAAGGTACGCAGAACTATGTTAGATCACACAGTGCAGATTTTGATACTGAAGAATCGGGTGTATTGTGAAATTGTAATATTTGTTGGCTACATGTATAAAAATGCTGATTTGTTTTGACAGATTGATAAGAACACAGGGATGGTCATGAACCTGATCTGAAGGAATATATTGAGGTACAGCTGTCCCTACACTGTCTAATGTGTACTTAACAATAACTAAAAATAAAAAAAATACATTAAATTTAATATATATTAAAGTTAATATAACATGAATACTAATTTTATGTAAGTTAAAATCAACTTCTTTTAAGTCACTGTCAAATTTGTTCTTTTTATTATTATTCTTTTTTTATTCAACATTTTTAAATAATTTTTTTAGCTATAAATCAATTATAGAAATTAATACTTCTATTTAGCAAGGATGCTTTAAATTGATCAAAATTGATGATAAAGACATTTATAATGTTACTGTACAAAAGATTTCTATTTCAGATAAATGCTGTTATTTTTAACTTTCTGTTCATCAAAGAAACCTGAAAAAAATTCTACTCAGCTGTTTTCAACATAATAATAATAATAATAATAATAATAATAATTGTTTCTCAAACAGCAAATCAGCATATTAGAATGATTTCTGAAGATCATGTGACACTGAAGACTGGAGTAATGATGCTGAAAATACAGCTGCGCATCACAGAAATAAATTACATTTATTTAATTTAATTTTGAATCAAATAAATAAATACAGGCTTGGTGAGCAGAAGATAATTCTTTAAAAAACATTAAAAAGTTTGCTGTTCAAAAACTTTTGACTGGTTGTGTGTGTGTGTTTGTAAAAAGTGAAGTTTCTTGCTTTTTAACATTTTTATCTACAGTGACTATAAGAATATTTCTTGCAAATATAAAGAAATGCATGACATATGGCGAAAAGCTGCCTTAATTCATGTATGAAAGCATGTGCACATGTACAAGGACTAAATATGCAAACATTGTTAATAAGTTTTGTGTTTTAGGAGGCCATCATGAAACCTCTTGACCATAAAAATCTGGATCTGGATGTGCCGTATCTTCCTGATGTCGTCAGGTGTGACTCTCTGTTTTTCTGTCACATTTCTGTCACAATACAATCGTTTAAAAACATATTGATGTTTATTTGTTTCATGCAGCACCACAGAAAACCTGTCCGTGTTTATTTGGGACAGTATGGGGAAGCTTCTGCCACCCGACAGCCTGTATGAGATCAGAATATATGAAACGGACAAAAATATTGTGGTGTACAGAGGAGAATAGAGTATAATTCAGCTGCGCTGCTGCATCAGCTCTCAGTACAGCAGTAAACGGTGATGAATTTTAGAAAGTACATTAGGGGAGAGTGGCTCCTGCTGCGTGTCACTACAGAATGGGATTAATGTCAGTCACTGGGAGTTTGGCTCAGTTGTCAGCCATGTGATATTGATCCTATTACACACAGAGAGATTACACTCACTCACTCACTCACTCACTCACTCACTCTCTCACACACTCACTCACTCTCACACACACTCACTCACTCATCACTCACTCACTCACTCTCTCACACACTCACTCACTCTCACACACACTCACTCACTCATCACTCACTCACTCACTCTCTCACACACTCACTCACTCTCACACACACTCACTCACTCATCACTCACTCACTCACTCTCTCACACACTCACTCACTCTCACACACACTCACTCACTCATCACTCACTCACTCACTCTCTCACACACTCACTCACTCTCACACACACTCACTCACTCATCACTCACTCACTCACTCTCTCACACACTCACTCACTCTCACACACACTCACTCACTCATCACTCACTCACTCACTCTCTCACACACTCACTCACTCTCACACACACTCACTCACTCATCACTCACTCACTCACTCTCTCACACACTCACTCACTCTCACACACACTCACTCACTCATCACTCACTCACTCACTCTCTCACACACTCACTCACTCTCACACACACTCACTCACTCATCACTCACTCACTCACTCTCTCACACACTCACTCACTCTCACACACACTCACTCACTCATCACTCACTCACTCACTCTCTCACACACTCACTCACTCTCACACACACTCACTCACTCATCACTCACTCACTCACTCTCTCACACACTCACTCACTCTCACACACACTCACTCACTCATCACTCACTCACTCACTCTCTCACACACTCACTCACTCTCACACACACTCACTCACTCATCACTCACTCACTCACTCTCTCACACACTCACTCACTCTCACACACACTCACTCACTCATCACTCACTCACTCACTCTCTCACACACTCACTCACTCTCACACACACTCACTCACTCATCACTCACTCACTCACTCTCTCACACACTCACTCACTCTCACACACACTCACTCACTCATCACTCACTCACTCACTCTCTCACACACTCACTCACTCTCACACACACTCACTCACTCATCACTCACTCACTCACTCTCTCACACACTCACTCACTCTCACACACACTCACTCACTCACACACACTCTCACTCACTCACACTCACTCTCTCACACTCACTGACTCACTCACACTCACTCACTCACTCACACTCACTCTCTCACACTCTCACACACTCACTCACTCACTCTCTCACTCTCACACACTCTCACACTCTCTCTCACACCCTCTCTCTCTCTCTCTCTCACACACTCTCTCTCT